AACATCATATAGCATGCAATTAACAATTAAAGGCGGAATCATGCTTGCATGCACTCAAAAACAAAACATTACCCATGAAATTCAAAGCCTAGTAGATTGGTGAACCAATAATCAACTCAAAACAAAGTGAGTTGAAATTAATACCTTTGTAGATTCCTCTTTGCATAAGCAAAGGCTAATCACCCAAAGAGATAGGGCCTTCATTCCTTGCTTCTTAGATCCATGGATTTGGATGGAAGAATAGGTTCTCTAAGTTCCCAAAATTGAGAACCTCTAAGTCTCTTCACCAAGGTTAGATTGTAGAAGAAATGAGTGACCTTGGAGTAGTAGGATTGCTAGATGTACCCTCCAAGGTGTTGGCCTCTTTAGAGAGAAAATGGAGAGACAATTCTCACCAATTTTCCCCAAAAATAAACCCTTTTACCCTTAATGAATATTTGGCTATAAAGTCATTTATATAGTCACTTCTTAAGTGACCTAAATAACCAAAACCCTAATTCATCTCACTATGGCCGGCCATTTAGGGATTTTAGGGCTTTTGGGCTTTAATGAATCTTTATTCATTAAATTGTCATACAACTTAAGTTAATGGGCTTGACGTTCGAAGCCCATTGGGCCTTAAGGTCCAAAACTATCCCGAAGTCATTTAACGAACTTATTCGTTTGATTAATTAACATATTAATTAATCCTTGCCATAAATCAATGATTAAACCATTTAATCATTCTTACTCATTTCCGTTTAATCTTCAATCTCCACCTCTTATGGTGTGCGATCCATTAGGTTCCTTTTAGCGAGGTAGTGGGCGATTAAAACCATTTTACATCGATTGTGAATTGAAACAATTTTCAATTCTCCCTTTAGTGATTATACACTTTTAGGGCTTCCACAAACCATGAGTGACACCTAGCAGCATATCATGGTTACCCAAGCTAATCAGAAGAGGTTAGAGAACCTATTCAGTTCGAGATTACAAATGCAATACGGTCTTTCTCTAATCTAATACTCTTGACCACATTGTTTGGTTTGATAGTTTATTTTCTCATGTCTACTATCCAATGTGTGTCTTGTGCTTATATGATTACCTTGAATGTGATTCGGAACGCATTCCCTAATCTCATTCATACTCTGATCAGAGATTCAAATCATATCAGAGAGTATTCTCCCTCAAACGGTTTGAAGGTTAGAGATCCCTTGTTGCGCATTCACTTGTCTCCATAGCTAAGTCACTTGTCCCCAACGATGCCGTGGACACCCTCCTGATGGGATGACTTTGACATAATCAAAGATCAAGGTCTTAACCACAAGACAACTATGATGCCTCAGGTCAAAGGACTACTTTGCATTATCCCAACCATGAGTTCTCATGTGACATGGAATATGAGAACTCTTCGTTGACCGCGTTCAGTGAACTCATTCTCTATTGAGCACCTACCGTACTTGTCTTGATGTCACACACACCAATGACTAGAGACTAATCACTCTCCCTGAGAGAAGACATAGTACGTACCGATCTTAACGGACTGTCAATGCCCAATTGGCAATCCTATGATCAGGAACATTTAGGATGTGTCTACGAAAGAATGGTCTCATGAATCTAACTTCATTAGATTACATTCTCCCAATCACATATTCCTTGGACTTTATCGTTTAAGCATATAACATTTATATGAGACGGCTCAAACAATAATTTATGCCCTTTATATGTTAAACTGGATTAGTTTAACATGTGAAATGTCCGTAAAGTATCATCACATGATTGGCTTTAGGGCACATTTCCAACAATCTCCCACTTGCACTAGAGCCAATCAGCTTGATCATCAATGATGATACCCCATGCTGCATAATCTGGTGAAGTTGTTTCGGGTATGATGTCATCCTTTTGAATGAACGAGAGCTTTCCACATCCTCCAAGAGTGAGAGAAATAGCTCGTGACCAGGGCAGATAGTTGAATTCGTTTAGGAGCACAGAGCTCAAACGTTGAATTGGGTTGGTATCTATGGTTTCGTTTTTTGAAATTTTCTCTGCTGGTGTTGCCATAATGGCTTAACTGGTTTGGATTTGGTAGGATTTCAGAAGAACACAGAGCCAGGTCCAATAGGGATCACTGCTCTGATACCATGTAGAGTTTTTGATGTATGTTTCATGTATAAAACAGTTACAAGTTCATACATAAATAGAAGAAGAAACGGGAAAAAAAATGGAGAACAAAAGGTAGGGGATAATGGCAGCTAAGCAAGTATAATGATGACCTCCACTCTCTCTAACTTAAGCCACTAACAAGCTTTACAGCCACTAACAAGCTTTACAATGATGAGGGAATAACAAACAGCTAATACTAGCACTAAGACTAGCTGAATGCAAGTTGAGCTGTTATCCATCAAAGCTAAATAAAAGCTTGCATTATTCTTCCAACATTTAACCCTACTTCCAACAGCAACCTTAATCCAGTGCTTAATATCATGTATTAAGGTTAAAGACTGATACTAGGGTTAAAGACTGATACTTCAATACCAATGTATTAAAAGGCGGAGGCGTGGGCAAGGCGTTCCATGGATAGTCCCGCCTAGCCGTGAGGCGAAGCCTTACGGGACCTTAAATAATAAGGGGCCGCTGAGAAAAAACAAGGGAAACAAGGGACTCTTGGGGTTTTTTAAAATAAAAGAAAAATAGATTTGACCAAAATGAAGTTATTTTGGGCCAAGTCATTTAAAAAAAATAAAGAATTTGCCAAAACGACATCGTTTTGGACCAAGTCTTTAAAAAAAAAATCCCTCTTCTTCTTCGCGATTGTCTTTCTCGTGAAGATGCCGCACACCCTGCAACCCTAAACCCAAATGACAGAGCCTTCAACTTCGATTTACCCTGACAACAGAGCATTTGACTTCGATTTTGGGTCACAGATGGATCTGGGAACACCCGCCAACCGCCCTTAGGCGCGCCTCAGCCGCCTAGGCTCGCCTCAACCACGCCTCGGTGAGTTTTCGCTCATTCCCATTAGGCAGAGGCGTTATCACTCCCGCCCCGCCTCTAAAACCGCCTAGGCACACAACACTGTGTTGTACTGTACCTTACCAAGTGTTTCTTCGGCACGAATTGCTCTTGCTCGCACGTCAGGGAACCCTATAGTGCAATGCTTGTTGACATCTAGCTACGCTCATGCCATTGGAAAGTAGTCCCCTGTTGGCCAGACCGGATCTCCCGACTCCAGTGAACATTTCCTAGGAGAAATCTTTCGTGGCTCTGCGGAGCTCAGCCATCGTCGATGTTTGATAAGACGTGCTACCAGATACCTAACAGAACAATATTAAGCATATGATGATTGCAAAGGGTTTTCCCAACACCTAATAATTTGCCTCACAAAACTTGGTAAATTGGTGTAGTTTTTTTAGTTCGACAATATTCTAATCTAATATAAATCACGGTACACTCTCATATATATCCACTGTTCTAAAAATCCCCGCCTAGCGCCGCCTAAGCCCCGCCTAGGCGCTAGGCCCCAACCCACCGCCTAGACCACCTAGGCACCCGCTTAGCCCACCTAGGCATCCACCTAGACCCGCCTAGGTTGCAACTCACTTAGACTAAAAATACATAACTTTCATTTTGCATTTTGTTTTTTTCCAATAAATTGTAAGAGACTTGTTGCATACTTGAATGAACAAACATTATATCCTTATTTCACATGTTTTCATTATGTTCCAATACTTCATGATATATATGCATTCTATTTTGTAGTTTATGATGAAATTATATATATTTCAAGTAGAAGCAGACACTTATTTACATGAAATATGATAGATTTACTTAAATCCACCTAGTCCGCCTAGGCGCCCGCCTAGGCCCTGCCTAGCCGCCTAGGCGCTAGGCCCCAGCCCGCCACCTGACTAGCGCCTAACGACTTTTAGAACCTTGTATATATCAAAAAGCTAAAGGCTGGAAATATTATATTGTGTATCACGTCAACATAAATAAGGTCTAATAATACAAGTAATTTATATTTGATCCCTAACATCTCTAATATTGTGCAAATAATTTGTATTTGATCCCTAACAGTTTTCTTAGTGAATTGATGGTTCAATACCTTTTGGTTATGTTATTTATGTAGTTTTGTGTTTTATATGCGCATTCATATACATCTCTATCTTTCTCTCTCTCGCGCAATTTTGATTGGACTTGCATGCAATGCTTTATGTAGAGAGAGATGATATTCGGATTAACTTATTTATATTTTTGTCGTGTTCGTGTAAATTCACATGTTGATCAACATGTAAAAATAATATCAATATAACAATGTAATCCAAATACCAAGTTGATGTTTGTAGTAGTTTCGACTAAGAATTCATAAGGACGAATTAGTTGAAATTGATGTATCTAGAAAATAAAGTCAATAATCTTAGAATCTTGCTTCAACTTTGTAGAAAATACATGTTGTCATATTTCCGGCACACATAAAATCTCTCCATGCCTACCCATATTTTATTTTTTTTGTACATCGATATTTTTACAGTAAGAGAATGGAGAGTTTGATTAAGCCACATAATGGACAACCTAATCTAGTATCAAATTTTCCATCCACGATATTCAAACCTAAGACCTCTCATTTTCAAATGAAGATTAATACCACCAGACTATAGTACTGATTGATCACGTCACCCCTAATTAAACGATTGATTTCAATTAAAAATGTGAGAACACGCCACCGTTTTTAATATTTTATAAACAGAACGACGTGTTGTTAGGAAGGACTTGGATTGTCTGCCCTCCTAGTTGTGGTGCCCTTCCATGCCCTCCTATTTTGTGCGGTCACGGTTAAGCTACGTCAATATTTTATATTTTTATTATTTTTTGTCTTATTATCTTATTAAAAAATTAATATAAAATATTGACATGGCTTAACCGTGACCGCACAAAATAGGAGGGCATGGAAGGGCACCATAACTAAGAGGGCAGACAATCCAAGTCCTGTTAGGAAACCGTTCTCTGGACAGGAACGTGTCTAGAAGCCAGTCGCTGCGAATATTCTCTGACGATTAGCTGACAGAATCTTTTTGGTGCTCAACCCTGCGTATCCAGAGTCACAGAGGGGCATCCGCCGTAATTTTAACTAAGATCCTTACCTCTTTCAGTAATTTCGCATCAAGAAAGTTTTCCATCCTCGGGCCGCCACCGAAAAAACCCACAAATGGCTATAAAACCCGCCAGCGCCAAAATTTCATCCGATCCCCAACCTCTTTCATTCCGATTCGATCAAATTTCTATCTCCGATCTTCAATTCGAGATTCCAATCGTTCGATTCGATCTTTTTCCTACCTGTTGATCCCAATTTCATTCCTCGCCGTGCCTCCAATCCGATTCTAGGGTTAGGGTTTTGAATTTTCCAGAAAAGTTTTCGATCCGAGAAAGGGTTTTTTCCTGATCTGTGAAAAAATTGTTCGCTGATAGTTTTTCGCTGTCCCAGTTGTTATGGGTGGTTCAAAAGTTTCCAGATTTATCTGAAAATTTGGGAAAGTTTTAGGTTTTTTGGAAGTTTCCAATTTTATATTGTTTTTGTCTGTAATTGCTCGTAAGTTAGTATTTAAAATTAAAATTGTAGTAATTTTTGGGTTTTGACGTTTGAGAGGCTGATTATTTGGTGCTTTTGTCAGTTGCTGGAACTCCATATTTTCAGGTAAGGATCAGTTCCTTTAGCTAAGCTCAGTAGTATTAATCATTTAAATTTTTTTTTTAAATAAATTACTGTGTATTTTAGATAATTGTTTGACTGGTAGACTATATTTGTTTGCTCTTAGTGCCCCTGCATATATTGCAGTACAGAAAATTGGTATCAAATTATGTGTAAACATGGTTTGTTGCAAAAAATGATGCAAAAGTAGATGTTTTGAAGTTAACATCGTATGTTCTTTTTTAAGGAATATGTGTCACTGTCACTTATCGAAAGGAAAAATGAAAGAATTGAATACTAAGCGACGATCTAATTAGTCGATATAAGTAGCTTCAACTTCACAGACAATTTTTTTCTGAAGCTAGATGGATGCTTGTTGGGAAGTAGGTGGTATTTCAATGTGTTATGCCCATAGTTTTTCGTACCTGATGCGGTTTTTGTTTTCAAATTCGGCGTCCATATTTATTGAGAAAGCACGAACACTGTTGATTAAGTCAAGTCATTTGGAGGGCTTAGTTTCATGAAGATTGTTATTTTGTTCTCGTTTCTGAAATCTTTATTTGCTGCTTTCTGCTTTGGGTGGGAGTTTTAGATTAGGAAAAATGCTGTGTTGCATATTCAATGCTCCACTTCAAATGTGACTTCACTTTGCAGGAGAAAATGACAAACAAACGGCCTTTCCATGGTGACGATTCTTATGAGGTTGCTTGGAAGCACCCAAGACAATTGGAATACGCAAATGAGCCTGCTCCAATTGTGGATACTTTTCCTTTTAGTAGCGCCCCCCAGAAATTTCAAATTTCAGGTACCAAATAGTTGGATGGTCAATTAGTCACTAATTATTCGATTTCCAAGTTGTGCATATAATGGTTGGCGGAAACTTTAGAAGATGTAGATGTATAACATGCTCCATGGATCTGGAATTGCAATTTAGAGTTTAATCTGGACCATTAACACAATCTGACCTTCAAAATGAAATAATGGCATCAGTTTTTTATACTCTAATGCAAGTTAGTGCTATCTATTGTGAGTTGATATAATGTTTACGAGGGCTAATGCATGTTTTTGTTAGCTGGGTATTTTCTGTAGATATTTAGTTTGATCCTATAGCTGATGTAATTACTATATGAAGATGGTGAAGGTGATGGGAGTTTTAGTACATGTCCAGATGAAGGAGGGTTTGCAAGTGACTTGGGAACTGAAATCTCAAATGAGACCTATAGAGAACTTGAAAATGGTGCTTCTGGAAGCTTCTCTCGATTTTGGTTGGCCAACAACAGTTTGTTTGAAGCTCATGTAAGACCTGAGGCAGCAGGGCATCTGTCATTATTCCCAGAATTTTTTGCACCTGCAAACCATCGGAGGGCTTTACTTCATTCTAATGATATCTGCTTATCTCCTGTTGATTATCCTCCTCAAAAGCTAGTTTCTATCGGACCTCAGCATCAAGCTCATGTTCCAGAATGGGGCCATGAGGGTTCACACACTTCAGATCATCTGGAGAAATTGGATCCTCAGCATAAACTTTCATATGCTTCCGGCCAGGGCCTTGGTGTCGATGAGGTGAAGCTGATGGGTACCTGTATCATTTCTATGCCTGATCTTGAAGCATCTGAAAACTATTTATGTGAAGATACGGCAGCTAGAAACCACTGTATGTGTGCTGATGCAGGTTCTGTTAGATGTGTGAGACAGCATGTCCTGGAAGCAAGAGAGAAATTAAGGAAAGACCTTGGAGAGTGCCTATTTGAAGAGTTGGGATTTTATGAAATGGGAGACGAGGTTGCAGATAAATGGACTAAAGATGAAGAACATGCCTTCCATGATGCCATCCGTTCTAACCCTGCATCACTGGGTAAGAACTTCTGGCACCATCTTTCAGTGGCTTTTCCTTTGCGACCGCATAAAGACCTTGTCAGCTATTATTTCAATGTTTTCATGCTCCGTCAACGTGCTGAGCAGAATAGGTTTGACCCTCTAAACATTGATAGCGATGATGATGAGTGGCAAAAATGTGAACTTGGAGTGGTCGATGATGACGAGGACGCATTGGTGGAATCTCCTGTAAATCTAGATGCTCCTGCCTATAATCAGATAGAACATTTTGACAGTTTCAATGAACAAATTGAGGATGCTGATGACGTAGATGGTTGTAATGATAATGCCGATGTCGTTGGTTGTGCTGGAATTACGGACGAGGATGCAGGCGATATAGATGATGGCCCAGAATCTCATGCTGAGAATCCCCTTGGTGATTGTGGTGCTGCTGAAACTTGCGTTCTGGATAAAACTCCTAGCAGTAACAGAGAGGATTATGATATTGAAGATGATTCTTGCACATCATATGAGCATCAGCAAGGAAGTTGAATTATGTTGTCAACTTACTGGGGAGAATGATGCAAGAGACTGCAGCGTAGAACAACTCCTTGCCTATTTAATTACACGAAGTATCTTGATTGACCTGCATCAACACAGTTAGATAATAAGATGGCAAAGGTCGGCGATGAACTACAGTACGGTTACTAACTCCTTGTACTGTTGCTTCATTCAAGCCAGCTTTGGGCTGTATGAACTCCTTGGAGCCTTTTGTTCATGATTTCGAGAACCCTGAAGAAGGATTTTTGAGTTGGCGATAAATGGTTAGCCCTTCAAAAGTGAAAGTAGTATTCTTTTCACTTCTTGGAAGAAGGCAGCTACAGATGTAGGCTTCTAGTACATGATGGATGTCCTCCGCGAGCCAGTCAAAGGGATAACCGTGGCCGGGAAACTCCTTCCTTCAGTGAACAGGGTAGAATTTCGTTACCTGTGTTCTTCCGTGAGACGAAAATCCTGCTTTCCCTTGTCAGGATGAGTCCCGTGAGAACGGTAACATAAAAGAAACGGTTTTCAGTCGAAGCAATCGAATCAAAAGTTCGTTACGAAGAATTCTACTCTGTTATCATTTTGGAAGTGTTGTATTCATCTGTGATGAGGTTAATTCGCTTTATGTTTTGTGTTCGTTTTCCCAGTGTTCTCTCTTATTTGATACTACCATCTCTCTCAATCCTTTTAAATATTATTATTATTTTTTAAATATTTTTTTGGATCAATTATTTGTATTTAATATACTTTACATGAATTAAATACTTGTCCAAACTTCTCTAGTAAGCTTTCTCAGAATCTACAGCAATCCCAAAATCCCCGCATTTATAAAGGGATGTATTCAATTGAGATTTTGAGGAATTTTAATTATTTTAATGAATCTAGGATAATCAATCAGGATTTTAAGTGATTTTCTGAAATTCAAGATGCATTCAATTAGAATTTTAAAATAATTTATTAAAATCCTTAGAAATCCGGGTGTATTCAGTTAGGATTTTAAAGAAGTTTATAACATTTCAGGTATATTTAATTAGAAATTGATTTTAAAGAATTAGAGAGTGTTGAAAAATTAGAAGGAATTGGAGAGATTTTGTAGTATATTTTAAGTATCCACAAATCTCACATCTCCCCATGAGATTTCGAGGAAATTGAATCAAAATTGTATATGGAATCTCTACAAATCAATTAAACTCTATAAAAATCCATCAAAGTCTATCAAAATTCTCAATTGAATACACAGGTTTTATATTAAAGGGTTATGTTCCAGAGACTATCTTTTTAAATCATATTTGATATGATGGTTGATGGTTGTATTTTTTTTATTGAATTATTGAAAATAAATTTTAATCATCAACCGTCATATTATGTAGTTTATAAAATATAGTTCCATTAGCATTTTTCTATATTAAATTAGCATCCAAATCATTTGTAGATTTTTTTAACAAACAATAAGCGATAGTGAGTTAAATGTTAGAGGGAATTGGTGGGTTCCATAAAATAAGGTAAAGTTAAGATATTAATATTTTAAAGTGCTTAATGGCTTAGTTAAAAACACTTTAAAAAATAAAAATAAAATTGCTAACTTCTTTGAAGATGCTCTTAGCACCTTTTATAATATAAAAAAGTTTATAATTATGACATATGTAAAAGATAAAATTTTCTCACACTTTTTGTTTTTGTTTTAGTTTTCATCTCTTTATTTTTGTCCGCTTAATTTTCTTTTTATTTATTCAATCTATATACCAACGAAAAGAAAAGAAGCATGCGAGAATGTTTTCCCAATGAAAGAAAAAACAGATCAAGGATTTGAAATGTAGTGTCCAAATTGATGGCATGCACAAAGAATTGAGGGTCAAGAGTTTGGTTAAATGTCAAAATCTTGTTGACGTGACCAAATGATTAACTTTATGCATGCTAATGTACTTCCTTAAAAGTTAATAAAAAATTAACCATCCAGCTACCTACACGTGTTAAATTTACTGTGACTCGAGTGCTTTTTACCATACTAAAGAAAATGTACAACTCACTGAAAGAAGGATCACCCACTTCTTGAGCCTTGCGCCCCAAGCAACACCACAAATGAAGGGTTCTTTTGGGCATTTTACCCTCTTCAGTTGGTCACCCACTTTTTGCAAAGTGTTACCGTAAAATTTTAAATTGCGGTGAAACTTTCATACAGTCGTTTTATCTCTAAATATTTTTTTTTCTGTTTATTTTTGTATATTGACTATCATAAGATTTGTTCAATCTTAAAACTCGATATAGAATATGAGACAGATGAAGAAAAGAAAAGTATGGAAATCATTTCTATTTATAAACATATTTTGTTAGGAAAGCGATTATCAATAATTATAATATTCTATTAAGAGAAAATTTGATTTTTTCGTAATGAATTAAGAAAATTCATATCCATTCAACTTCTTGAATTTGAGTTAGAACGATGTTATCCATCTGACCCCGATGCAAGATTGTGTCTACGGCGGACGGGTGCTGTGATCCGGCAAGTTGGCATAAGAATTTCTCCAACTTCCGGTGATAGGTCCATGCCAAATTGGAGCATAGTGGTAGCAATAGCAAAATTGGTAGCTTGCAATATACGAGCAAGTGGGACAAAAGTCGGAGTCTCGTACTGTAGCTTTGCTTTCATGCAAGGATATCGTTTCTTTTTCTCCCTTTCCAAATGAGGCATAAGCTCCTAACATTAAACGTTTAGAGAGAGAGAGAGAGGGAGGGAGAGAGAGAGAGGGGGATTAGTGCCAGAAAGCTGCCAACATTAAACATTGCATTCTTTTTCGTAGTGTCTAGTCTTGCCAGCTACTGGCAAGGCAATACGCTCAGTCAGTGCTGCAGTTACGGAGATATTGCTTCGCCTTTTGGCTTCCACATTTACATTTCTTCAAGCACCACTCAAGAGAGAGAGACCTTACTGCTCAAACCAAAACCCTGAAATCTGAATCGTTTCTTCCCCAAGAGAGAGAGGTTTTGATTCGGGACCCAGATCTTGTTCTTGCCCACAAATTCTACAAAACCCAGAAGAAGTGCTTCTTCTCCAATCACTTTTGAAAGAAGCAAGAAAGCTTCGTCTCTGATCTGGGTTTTCAGCATCCTCTGTTTCTTGAGCTTTTTTCTGATTTTTGCTTTTCTGGAATGCGGTGGGAAGATTCAAACTTTCTCGGAAAATTGGAGTCCTTCTTGGTTTTGGGATCTGGTTTCGTTTGCTTTTCTAGTTAGAACGATGGAGCATGTGTGCAAGCTCTGCAAAAAGAGCTTCTTGAGCGGCAGAGTCTTGGGAGGTCACATGAGGTGCCATGGAGCAAAGAAATCGGCTAAAACTGAGAAAAATATCGAAATGTGCAGAGCACATTCTGAGGTTGAAGACGATGATCACGCTGGTTATGGATTACGAGTGAACCCGAAAAAGTCCTGGAAATTTTCAGGGCACTCGAAGTTTGAAGCTTCTGCGGGGGAAGAAAAAGAGTTCGTCTGCAGGTGCAGGGTTTGTGGCAAAGGGTTTCATTCGATGAGGGCGATGTTCGGGCACATGAGGCATCACTCAGGGAGGGAGAGGAAGGAGGCGCAGTCCTGCGAAGTTTGTGGTAAAGAGTTCGAAACGTTGAGAGCTTTAGCTACTCACAGCAGATGCCACTCGAAAAGTATTAGGGGAACTGATGGATTGGAGACTGTTTCTTCAAGCAAGAAGCTTGCTGTGGATTGCTGTCAGTACAGCAGTGAGACAATGGGGCTGATTCGGAAGAAAAGATCGAAAAGATTGAGGTACAAGATTACTAATTCAAGTTGTTCTTTTTCTAGTTTCAGTGTTAATGAATCTAAGTATGTCACTGAATTTGGGGAAGAAGTAGTAGAGGGGGCAATTTGTTTGATGATCATATCTGGTTGTGGAAGCAATTGGGATCGAATTAGTTCAGTCACTGAGTCTTCGGATAATAATTCCTTGTCTTTAGAGGTTCAATCACCAGGCCTAAAGAATTGGATCATGGGAAATAAGGGTGGTGTTTCTGTTTGTGATGATACTGTGAAATTCGTTGATTGCATTTCTGATGGTAAGAATGTCTCTGTTGACAAGAAAGTACTTGAATTTAGCGAAAATAATTCTGGGTTTGCGAATGATGAGGAAAAGAATGTCGAAACGGAAGATAGGTTCTTCAGGGGTGTAGGATATAAGAGGCCGAGACTGGATGAGGAATCTGTATTTGGGTTGTGTGATACTGAAATGGAAATGAATTTGGATATCATCAAGGAAGTAGAATTGGATGTAGCTGCATTCGGATCAATGAAGTCGGGTTTGAACAATAAACCCAAGTTTTACGCTACTGAATCTGAAGTCTTTGCTGATTCCCAGAAGAAAAGAGAGCACAAGTGCAGGCTTTGCAACAAGGTTTTCAGCACATATCAGGCACTTGGAGGCCACCAAAGAGTTCACAAATCAACCAGCACCACTTCTTTGGTAAATATTGAGGATTATGAAGATAGAATTCCGATTAACAAGTTTTCGAAGATGGAGTACAGTTGCAAGCTTGCCAAGCCTGAATGCAGTGATAATTCAGCAGCAGAAGAGAAGACGGAAAGAGTTATTGAGAATAAGGGTCACAAGTGCTCCATCTGCTTGAAGGTGTTCGCAACAGGCCAAGCGTTGGGTGGCCACAAGAGAGTTCATTTCGGCAAAGACCCCGAGACAGGTGCAGAAGAGTCCAGAGTGCTGAAGCAGCAGATTTCCGACATCTGCGATGCATTTGATCTTAGCCGTCCAATCGAAAATGGTGATGTTGATTTTAAGTCCTGGTGGCCTGGAAATGAACATAAGCAGGAGTTGTTGATGGATCTGATGCCCAACTGAGAAGTGATTCCATCAAAAGCAGCTTTTGAAGTTTCAAGTGGTAAAGCTTCTCTTTACAGCTTAGGTAGCAACCCAGGAATTTTTTGTCCAATTTCTGGATTTTACTATCCATGTGGAAATATATTCATATATGGTTCCAAAACTGCAGCTGACTGATACATTTTTGGAACTTATTGCCTGAAATATGAATTTTCTGTCTTTTGGAACTGTATTACATTTGAAAAACTATCAATATACAGCAACAGATGAGCAGAAATGTTACCTTTTTCCTTCTTTTTTCCATTCTTTTGCTTTGAAGTCCACAAAGTTTGAACAGAACCCCTCATCTTGGTGACCTTTTTCTGCCACATTGTTTTGGCCACTTTGTGGGGATAGTGATTGAAAATGAAGTTCACAGCGTGAGACACGCTGGTAGTGAGGATTAAGACAGTTAAATAATTTTTAAATAAAACTTGTGTAGAGTGTCCCAACTCCCGACCATGTCATTCGTAGGGCACCTCTCACAAAGTATGGGACCCTCTTATATTTTGATTCTACTCAATTCTGTGGTCTCACTTGGTGTGAGAACTACCCTAATAAGACAGATACATAATACATGATAAACCATGACAAACGTATTTTTTACTTCTTTCCCTCTATGTATCAATCGTCTTTTGCAAGTAACTAGAGATGCCTTTGCCTTGACCCAGAAGAGAGCAGTCCAACTGCACAGCTTAAAGTGCATTTCAAACTCAAACATCTAGTTACATCCTAGATCCAAGGCTTTAAGAACTCCAATCTTTGACTTATAAGCTTGGCTTTCAGTAAGCTTCGTAAGCGATTTTTTAGGGCACAAACACGTACAAAGTACAGATACACAAATAACTCAGTACGTATTTATATGATAATGAAAATTTAGTACATGCTATAATTAAGAGTAAAATGGGGAAAGACTACGTACGATAGACCCCCCTCCTCCCCCTATCAGTGACTCTCGCAAAGCAAAGAACCTTGTTGGCTTGGGTGGGCTTTTTTTATGTTTTTCCTTAGGTTCATGAGAGGAGTGAAGTTGCCCGCCCACTTGCAGAGATGCACACAAAAGAATTGAATATGCAAAACTTTTGTGCCATATATATGCACACAAAAAATGGTAGATCATGTGAGTGTGGATGGGATCACTACTTGATTCAATCTCTGTACTCTTCTAGGCCATGTGCTTGCAATGCTCTCTAAAAAAACAATTTAAGATGTGAGACTTTGGCGCTCTCTCTCTCTCTCTCTCTCTCTCTCTCTCTCTCTCTCTCTCTCTCTCTCTCTACTTGCCCACAATTCATTACAATTTACAAGAACCAATGTGCAAGAAAGCAAGATCCAAGTCTTGCATTGCACTTACAGCTCAGGGACAGTCTTCATTTTCTTCTAAAAGACTAGACAAACAACCTAAATGGGCATGAAAATGTAAATGCGGATTAGGTGAGTTGGTCACTATACGGGTAATATGTTCGCTTCTTGTACTTTACTTTGAATCTCTCTTCTTGTGTATTAGAATCGTTTGTAGTATTTTAATTCACATTTAGTGGGGATCAATCCTATTTTGTAGGTCATGGACCGACCCAGCCTAATCGTAGGGCTAGGCTTAATTTCAAATCGGAATGCTCTAGGTCTTGCATTATAAATTAAGTTACATTTTAAAATTCTTTACTATATTATACCAAGCTTTTTCAGCATACTAACTAGCAGGTGTAGAGAGTACTAAAAGCCATCAAGCGGCAAACTTTATCCAGTGATTAATTTATACATGAGGACAACAAACACTAGGCTTAATTGCGTAATCGCATTATAAATTAAGTTACATTTCCAAATTTATTACTATATTATACCAAGCTTTTTTAGCGTACTAACTAGCGAGTGTAGAGAGTACTAAAAGCCATCAAACGGCTAACTTTATCCGGCGATTAATTTATACACAAGGACAACAAACACTAGGCTTAATTGCTTAATTGCATTATAAATTAAGTTACATTTTCAAATTTATTACTATATTATACCGAGCTTTTATAGTGTACTAACTAGCGGGTGTAGAGAGTACTAAAAGCCATCAAGCAGCTAACTTTATTCGGCGACTAATTTATACATGATGACAACAAACACTAGGTTCGTATTATTTAGTACCATCCAAGGTGTTACACGGTGTGCCAAACGAGAGCTAACTCATTTGTTTTTTCTCCAGTACATTTTCCCTCTTACAACTTGTATTCGTGTTACAGAAAAAAACTAATTTCTTACCAAACCAAACGAGATGGTGGTGCTCAGGGGCGGATCCACAGTGGGGTCGTCGGGGTTGGACGACCCCTTGGAAACCATGGAAAACAACCTTCAAGCTCCATATGCGACCTCTTGGAGCTGGGGTCGTCGTCAGGAAGAGGAAGAAGAAGACTCGGCAGCGGCAGGAAGAGGAAGAAGAACAGCGCTCGCGCGCTTCTTTTTTTTCAAAACATACGGGCAAAACGGCGTCGTTTTGGCCCAGGAAATTTTTTTAAATGACCTGGCCAAAACGGCGTCGTTTTGAGCCAGGCCGAACAAAAAAAAAAAATTTTAATTCCCACCGTGTCCCCCCCCCCATCCCAGCCTTCCTACCCGACTCAAAAGCCCCAATTTGTTTTGTTTTTGTCATCCTCCAACCCTAACTCAATCCCCCAAACCCTCAACTCCTCTCCTCCCTTGCTGCTGCTGCCCCCAAACCCTCAACTCCATCTCCTCCCTTGCTGCTCCTCTGCTAGCGGCTCCAACTCCATCTCCTCCCTTTATTTATATTGTGAGTATTTATTTTGAATATTTTGTATATGTAGAATATATTTAATTAATTGAAATTCAATTTATATTTATTTTGTGAGTTTTTATTGTGAGTTTTTATTGATGGTTTGTTTATATTGTGAGTTTTTATTGATGGTTTGTTTATATTGTGATTTTTTATTTTCATTATTTTGTATATGTAGAAAGAATGCAAGATGAGATATTTAATTTAATTGAAATCCAATTCATATTTATTTTGATTATGTTTATGGTTTGTTTATATTGTGAGTATTTATTTTGAATATTTTGTATATGTAGAATATATTTAATTTAATTGAAATTCAATTCATATTTATTTTGATTATATTGATGGTTTGTTTATATTGTGAGTTTTTATTTTCATTATTTTGTATATGTAGAATGCAAGATGAGATATTTAATTTAATTGAAATCCAATTCATATTTATTTTGATTATGTTTATGGTTTGTTTATATTGTGAGTATTTATTTTGAATATTTTGTATATGTAGAATATATATTAATTTAATTGAAATTCAATTCATATTTATTTTGATTATATTGATGGTTTGTTTATATTGTGAGTTTTTATTTTCATAATTTTGTATATGTAGAATGCAAGATGAGATATTTAATTTAATTGAAATCCAATTCATATTTATTTTGATTATGTTTATGGTTTGTTTATATTGTGAGTATTTATTTTTGAATATTTTGTATATGTAGCAAGCATTATTATGGAACGGTTTTTTAAGAGAAAGTCATCATCGGGTTCGGGTAGTTCGAATAATGTTGATAGTTCAAATACTGTTGGTAGTTCAAGAACTCCAAGTTCAAGACAAAGTCAGTTAGATGATGTTTTGAGTAATCTTCAAGCGGATCCTGGATTAAGAACTCGAATAATAGATTATGACGCTAATATGAGAGATGAGGTCCGAAGATTATTTCTACAAAAAGGACCTTGTCAACCTAGAGGTCATAATTTCCCAATAACTAATATGTCGGGAATTAATCGACGCTTCATTCCCCAATGGTTTGATGAGTTTGATTGGTTGGAGTATAGTGTATCTAAAGATGCGGCATTTTGTCTCTATTGCTATCTCTTTAAAAACCAATTTTGAACAAGTGGGTAGTGAAGCTTTCACTGGAGATGGATTTAAGAATTGGAAGAAAGGGAGAGAAAGATTTAAGATGCATGTTGGACCGGTTGGGAGTGTTCATAATAAGGCTAGAGAAGCTGCTACAAATTTGATGAATCAAGCTACACATATTGAAATGGCAGTGAGCAAACACTCTGACCAAACTCGTAAGGCTTATCGCACATGCTTGATTGCTTCAATCAAGTGCACTAAGTTTTTATTGCGACAAGGTCTTCCTTTTCGTGGCCATGATGAAAGTGCCACTTCAAGCAATAGGGGAAATTACTTGGAGTTATTGCAATTCCTTGCAGATAATAATGATAAAGTTAGAGAAGTTGTGATGGAAAATGCTCCGGGGAATCTCAAATTACTAGCTCCTTCCATTCAAAAAGAAATTGTGAATTCATGTGCCCTTGAAACACTTGATGCTATCATGGATGGTCTAAAAGATAGATTCTTTTCAGTATTGGTGGATGAAGCACGTGATGTGTCTGTGAAAGAGCAAATGGCTATGGTGTTGCGTTATGTGGATGACAACGGGCATGTAATTGAAAGATTTGTGGGTATCCAACATGTTACCGACACTACTTCAAGTTCACTAAAGGATGCTATTGACACATTGTTTTCTCGTAACGGTTTGAGCATTTCCAAGCTACGAGGACAAGGTTATGATGGTGCTAGCAATATGAGAGGTGAGTTGAATGGCCTTAAAACAAAGATATTGAGAGAACAACCTTGTGCATATTATGTTCATTGCTTTGCTCATCAACTTCAACTAGCTCTTGTTGCCGTAGCAAAGAATAATATAGACATTGCCTCTTTTTTTGCAACGGCTAATAGTGTGGTTAATCATGTTGGAGCATCTTGTAAGCGGCGTGATTCACTTAGAGGGCAACTTCAAGAAGAGCTTGTGATAGCTTTTGAAAATGATTGTCTTATAACGGGGCGAGGCTTAAATCAAGAAACAAGTCTCAAACGTGCCGGTGACACACGATGGAACTCACACTATGGTACCTTGATTAGCATCATTTCTATGTTTTCATCTGTGGTTCATGTGCTTCAAATGGTTATGGATGATAATCCCAATGACAGTGCGGCTGAAGCAAATAAGTTAATGAGAGTGATACTTACTTTTGAGTTTGTGTTTCACCTTTTCTTGATGAAAGTCATATTGGGACTCACAAATGATTTGTCACAAGCATTGCAAAGGAAAGATCAAGAAATTGTGAATGCAATGGCTTTGGTGAAATCATGCAAGGAAAAGCTATATTGGATGAGGAATAATGGGTTCGATGCATTGGTTGATGAAGTATCTTCTTTTTGTGAAAAACATCATATTGATGTTCCTAACATGGAAGAGACATTTATACTTCCAGGGAGGTCAAGGCGTTATGCCCCAATAAAGACAAATCGTCATCATTATCGTGTGGAGCTCTTTATTTATGTCATTGATGAGCAAATTACGGAGTTAGAGGATCGCTTTAATGAGGTAAATACCGAGTTGCTTATTTGTATGGCATGTTTGAGTCCGAAAGATTCATTTGTAGCTTTTGATAAATCAAAGTTACTTCGTCTTGCTCAATTTTATCCTCAAGACTTTTCGGATGAAGATCGTTTGGCACTTGAAGATCAACTTGAGATTTATATTCATTATGTGTGTTCCAGTAGTGATTTCTCTCAATTGGAAGGGATTGGTGATCTTGCAAAAAAAATGGTGGAGACAAGGATGCATCAAGTATTCAATTATGTATATTTGCTCATTACATTGTCTTTAGTTTTACCAGTTGCAACTGCTTCAGTGGAGAGAGCATTTTCTGTCATGAATATTGTTAAGGGTCCACTTAGGAACAAAATGGGAGATCAATGGTTGAGTGATAGCTTGCTTGTTATATTGAGAGAGATGTTTTTGCTTGTATTGAAAATGAAGCTATAATGCTTCGTTTTCAAAATATGAAACCTCGTCGTGGACAATTATAGTTTGTAATATTGTTTCCATTATGAATTATGAATGAAAGTACTATGATTTCATTTTCAATATGTTTTTCCATCCTAAATTTTTATTTGAACTTTTACACTGCGACCCCTTGGGGTAAGATTCCTGGATCCGCCACTGGTGGTGCTTATTTCAAAAAACCGCTTTTTTCCCGAGCATTTAAGGTAATAGTGTAGCAACCAAACGCTGCCCTTTTATTCCGAGCAGTTTACCTTTACATGAGAGAGAGAGAGAGAGAGAGGGAGGGAACATAAAAGCCGAGGATCATCACAACGGCGTGGTAAGACCGTGTTTGGTTACGAGCAGAAACTTCTATGGCAACTCGACGGGGTTGATGTTCCATATGTCATTAGCATATTCGTGAATGGTTCTGTCACTGCTAAACTTGTACGAGCCTGCTGTGTTCAGGATCGACATTCTCGTCCATCTCTGTCACCCGAAAACAACAGGTAAAAACATTAGCCGCGAATGAACTCAAAACATTGCTAAGGGCTATAAAAACATGTTGAGATTCAGCAGAGTAAATGTATGCCGGCGATGTATCAGTACCAAGGAGGAATGTATGCCGCGAATTATCTCACCTTTTGGTCTCGATATGCCTCATCAACCTTCTCTTGGCATTCTATGTAACTGGGGAAGTCCTTGCCGACGAGGAAATAATCTGCACGGCCAAATCCTTCATTTCCTTCCAGGGATCCAATCAGTTCGTCATAATTGTCTGACCCAAAAACACCGCTTTTGACGAATTCCTTGACTTCTTCAAAACGTGGGTCTGGAACAAACTGCATAAGGAGAGACATCAAAATTGCATCACAAGGGCAGTTCTTAAACAATAACATGGGAATGAAAGTAACAATTTGGTTATTGAGACAAACCTTCCCCTCGGCTCGTTCTTTTCTCAGCCCAGCAATCTCATGAGCCTCAGCACCAAATAAGAAAAAGTTGTCTTCTCCAACCTCTTCTCTTATTTCAACATTGGCACCATCCAGAGTCCCGATTAGGATGCAGCCATTCATTGCAAACTTCATGTTGCTGGTTCCACTGGCCTCCATCCCCGCGGTACTACAAATAAATAACAATTGAAAAAAGGTCGATTAACAGTTGGTTTGCGTGTATGTTTAGCTTCAATCAGTTCCATTGAAGTCATTCCCGCTCAAGTTCCACGCCTTGTACGAGTAAGATCCCATGATATATTATCCAGCACAAGGAAGGCTCACCTAGATTGTTAGTTTAATACACAATGCTCTGAACTCTCTAGTCTACAAGTTACAAGTGTAATCGATGTACTTCAAGTTGGCTACAGCGAAAACTATAACTTCCCCAGCTAATCTGCTTGAATTTCACTCTTGGCTATTCTCGCAAACCCAGCCAAACCCGTTTTTTTCTTACTAAAACATCAATTATTGCTTAAAACTTAAGCAGTGGAAATTTTTTTAAAACCAATTCCTGATGCTTCTCCACATATACCCCTCGCAGACAGAAAAATCATGTGGCCAGCGAAAGTACGAATCATATAACGAATAAGACCACATTACCTGATGTGCTGTGAGAGCTCACTTGCAGGAATCAACTGTTCAGCAACACTGACATTGTAATCAGGGACGAAGACAACCTAATATGACAATCGATAATATAAATTAGTGGGTCGGTAATTCAGATGAACTCACAGCAATTCGAAAATACACGCATGTAAAGATATTGTGTGTGTTTGTTCTTTTACAGAGCCAACTTATATTTACTGTAAGTCAATAAAGCATTGCAGATCACTTGTTTTTATCAAGTTGTTAATGCCAGGAGACTATTAACACCAAGGATATCGATACCTTCAGTAGATCACCAATACTAGGATCACAATTCACTGTTGCCCCTACATCTGTGATAAATTTCACAATTCTCTTGGCTTGCACATACGTAGCAAATGCTTTTCCTCCAAACATACAAACTCGTGGAACAAACTTTGACTTCCTTTCCGAAGCACTCATTTCTTTCATTTTCTTGTAGCGGTAAACAATTCCCATAATGTTCATCAGTTGTCGCTTGTATTCATGAATGCGCTTCACCTGAACAGAAGCATGCGAATAAGAAAAGAAAACTTTGATTGAGGCATGATGAGAAACACAAGGAAATTTGTGCAGTGAATAAACCAACTATGCGTGAAGTTGGCTGTGCAGGCTTCCATCTATTTAATACACATTTGGAGGAGATTTGAATGCATAGAAAATACCTGTATATCGAACATTGCATCAGGGTTGACAGAATATCCCGTTCTTTCTTTGATCAACGACACAACTTTCAACTTGTTGTTCCTTTTTGCTTCCCTCCATTGGGTTTGGAGGTCCTGATCATCTGCAAACTATTACAAAATCAAATAACAGAGATAAGTATATGGCCATAACAACGATACTGCAAAAATTGTATAAAAGTCAACATAAACTCCAAATTGTTCATTCTTATGAGTTTTACCTTTCGTAATTCAGCCAGTTTTTCAGTATCTAAGACCCAGTCTTCCGTGCCAATCCACTTCGTTATAATGTTACTTAAATCTGGATTACAGAAGCGGATCCATCTTCTCGGTGTCACACCATTTGTTTTGTTTTGAAATTTATTAGGCCACAACTGCCAAATTTGCAGGTTAGAGATCGATAAAAGAGCAATTTTTGAACCTTGAAAGAGCCTCGTCTTTACTAAAACTGTCAAGGCTTACCTTATAAAATGAATTAAATACTTCATCTTTCACTATCTCACTGTGTATTTCAGCAACACCATTTACCGCATGACCACCCACAACACACAGATTCGCCATACGTACTAACTTCGGTGGTTCCACCACAACCTTTTTCTTTTTTTCCTCTTCGTGTTTCTTCACAGGTACGTTTTCTTCATCAGCAGATTCATCAGCAGACTCATCTTCCTCTTTTGAATCTTCAATTTCTTCACTGGGAACAGCAATGGAACTCTTTTTGGGTTTAACAATCAAATCCGCAAATTTGGCAGGCAAGTCAACATTTTCTAATATTCTCATCTCCTTAAGTTTCTTATCTATTAAATCATAGTCCGCTGTGCCATACTCCGAAATTATGGTCTGAATGAGCTGCAGAATTTGCAAACACAAGAAATCCATAAATTTAAAATCTCCAAAGGTAAAGAACTGTTTGAATTTAGTACACGGTCCTGCTTTACCTCCTCATCAATCATCTCTAAGATCTGAACGTGTCGAGGAAGCAGTTTCTCCATAAGTTCCAAACTCCATTTCTCCAAGGCCTCAGGTAGAACAGTATGGTTTGTATATGCAACCGTTCTAGAACACACGTGACAGGATGTAAGGCGAAAGAAGTTGCTACAGTTAAGCATGTACCACTAACAAGTCTTCCTACATAATCACAAAAGGTGTTACCTTTGAGTAATATTCCACGCCTCCTTCCAGTCCAAGCCCTTCAAATCAATCAAAATTCTCATCAGTTCAGGAATGCAGAGGGTTGGATGAGTATCGTTCATCTGCACTGCGACCTTCTCGGGGAACTCTTGCCATTTGACATTTGCTCCAGATCTTCTCTCAAAACGTGCAACGATATCTTGAAGAGAAGCAGAGCATAAGGTATATTGTTGCTTCAAACGAAGTGTCTTGCCCTCCATTGATTCATCCCCAGGATAAAGTACGTAGCAAATCTGTAAATCATTGGAAAAACAGATATAAAACCGGAAATCTATATTTTCGGATCAAATCGACTGAGGGCTGATGAAAACCACATTCATTACAAGAAAGATTTATGAAATCATAAGGGGACACAAACCTGTTTTCTTTGGAGCAGTTAAAGGGAAAATTGGAAAATAAAGAAAACTGAAAGGAAACCGAAGGAAAGGAGCACAATATACAACCTTTTCAGCATTTGCTAAAGCTTCAGATGCTTTCGTGTGCTCTCCAGAATTAAAAGCATATAAATCAAAATCCTGTGATGAAGCTTTCGTCGACCAAAGCCGCAAGTTGATCGTGGTTTTAGTTTTGTATCCTGGTATTGGAACATCATAGGCAACAGCATCTATGTCTTCTCCCCCAATCCAATGTTGTTTTCCATCCGATCCAGTAACAACCTTTCCATAGAATTTTATAGGATAGGAGACATCATTTCTCACAATCTCCCAAGGATTGCCCATCTGCAAGATTCAGCAACTAATAAGACATAACGATTTCACCAAAAACCTTTAAAGAAAGTGAAGTCGTTGAAGCGAAATATAAAAACAGAAAGCATGCATACCTCAAGCCAATCCTCAGCAACTTCTTCTTGACCATGTTTTGTAATTCGCTGTTTAAATAAGCCATACTTGTACCTGAGTCCATAACCCCAAGCCGGATAATTTAAAGTCGCCAAAGAGTCCAAGAAGCAAGAGGCAAGCCGACCAAGACCCCCGTTTCCAAGTGCAGCATCTGGCTCCTATAATCAAATAATCTATATAACTTGGTTGCACCAACACACGAACGCAAAGCATGCAGAGAAGAAAGAGAACCATAACTAACGCAAAATTAATACGAATGTCCGCAACAAAATTTTAACGAAAAAGTAAAAGACAAGCCAGAACCTCACCTGGTTAGCAACATTTTCTAATTTGTGTCCAAGCTTGCTTAAAGCCTCAGCATATGCACCATCTAGCTCTAAATTACCAACGGCATTTAACAGCGCTCTACCCTACAAAAACAGAACTTTATGAAACGACGCAGATTGCAGGCTATAGGTGACTGAAATGCACATCCACACTTGTGGGAAACAAATACAGGGAATTGATGACAAACCTGCAAAAATTCCATTGACAAATAATATGCCTGCTTTGCATTCAATTTTTCATGATAATTATTTGTTGCATTCCAGTTAACAATGAGCGCATCACGAACACTTTGTGCAGTTGCATAGAAGGCCTTTGGAAGCTCAAATTGCTCCGCAGAAAACAACGGGGTGAACTCTGCGTGGTATTTGATGCTTGAAGCGATGGATGCAGTATCTGGTGTGAATGAGCTGAATGCGCTTGCAGCATCTAAGTAAAAAATACAAAGTGCTAAACTGAGTGCAACACAATATCTCGAATCATTACATTAAAACATAAGAAAGAAAGACAATCTCTCCAATATATATATATATATATCAAAATTGAGAATTTGATGGGGATGATCCTAAACCCTCCCAGCAAACCAATCACATATTTACCATGTCAGAATAAAAAAAGGATCCGAAACCCAACAGCTAACACGCGCCATCTATCGATTCAAGATAGCTAAAATCCAGCATAACCAGATGATTTTCAAGCTCTCAGCCATCTAATTAACAAACCCCATGTCCAAAAACTCCTCAAAATTTAAGATTGATTGGAAACACGGATAGTAAATTATCATCACCAGATGAACAAAGCATGGATCTTTAATACATTTTTTATGTAAACTAATCGAGTGACGAACAATCAAAGCATCAAAGAAGAGAGAGGAAGATGAGGAGGAGGACCTTGTTCGATGATCGGATCCTTGAGCTCGTGAGGCTTTTCCAGAACGTTCTTCACGGAGAAGGAAAACGACCGCCTCCGATTCGAGGTCCTTGTGAACAAAAGCTTGGATTTGTTCTTCCTGGAACAGAAATCGATCAATTTGGACTGCGACTTGCAATGCCACACTGCCTCTGGTCCGCTACGAGTTGCAGAGAATTGGGAAGCCGCCATTGCTGCAAAATGTTCTCTCAGTAGAAGAAGACGACTCTCTCAAGTGTCTGAGTTTCTAAGTCACTGGGCCACTGAGACTCGTTCGTTTGTTTGTGAATGTGATGCGGATACTACTGAGATTATGAGGATCTGCCTTCTTTATCGCTTTTCACGAGACTTCACACACACACACCCTCTCTCTCTCTCTCTCTCTCAGTTTCCATTGATCACGGAACCCACTCTGTTTCTTTTACTAAATGCACTTTGCACTTCTGATTCATATGACAGTTGAGATGTGGTACATCCGTACCTGCGGTTTCATCTTACATGAAATGTTTAATGTTCCACCGAATTACCCTTTAATATGTGAGAAAAAAACTTACGTATGACAGTATACTAGTGCATTAATACATCCGTGACGATGAATGCATTTCACATAAATCGTTCTCTTTAGCTAAGTTACTATGTCCACTCTTTCGTTCCAAAAATGAAGTATTACACATGTGATTTTATTATAAAGGTATCTAGATTGAATAACGCAGGACCATGTGAAAAGGTTGTATCATTTTGTCCAACTAAGTATTGTCATTTAGTTAAGTTTCTTTTCTTTATTCAAATTTGAATCTTCTTATTAAAAAAACAATTAAAAGTAATTTAGAATGTTGATTGTGAAAATGAACAAAAAATTGGTATTTCAGTAATAATCGACTTTAAAGTTTAGAGATTAGCTACAATACTTACAAGTATTTAATGTAATAACTCTTTGAGGGTCAAATATATTCATGTGAAGAAAAATGATAAAAGTGGGACTCTACATGGACTATGTGCCACTCCACATTTGGCACTGGAATTCATGTTAAACTGTGAGGTGACAGATAGTCCATAGATAGTCCCTTTAGTATTTCTCTTCAGGTGAATATATTATTTAATACAATTATCTTAATTGTCATTACGGTCCAGTGATATTCCTCTTTACTTGTAAATGAGATATATTAGACTCGATTCTTAAAAGGTGAATTAGTAGCATATTGTGAGACTAAATCCACATCCTTCTCTTTAGTAGAGATAATGTCGTTTAAAAAAAATACAATTATACTAACTATTATAGTCAAATCTTAAGGTTTAAACACAAATTTTGATTTGGTTACCACATGATCCACATGGCATGCCTTTATTTGTTGATTACGATTAGTCAACTCTTTTGACTAATTTAGAGCCAGTCGAGTGCAACATTTGCATGGTTTCTGCAATTGCACTGGATCTGGATCTCTCTTCAATCTGTATTAATTTTTCTTAAATAAAATAAAATAAAATAGTAAATATGAAGAAATATGGCAACAAATTTCGGATCAAACCGGCATCGATTGGAGATATTTTTCAGCCTAAATTATTACTTTAAATAAATTGACAGTTTTAATATTATATTCTATCATGATTGCACAGAGAGATATTTCAGTGTGATCGGCATACAAGATGGTACATCAAGTATTACTATACAAATGATAAAACATGTGTGTCAAAAAGTTAATAACTTGAACAATAAAATTTTTTATCACTTACATAAAAATACATGATGTACCACCTATATTCCTGTCCACAATAAGAAATTTCTTGATTGCACGGGTTTATATCTCTGGTTCGTTGTATTTGCACCGTCACTTGTAAACACGTCCTTTGATGAGTCACAAACGACGACCACCATTGGTTCAGATTTTGGTGAAGCTAGCAACCAAAACTGCTGATTTCATCAATTCCTCATGTTTATCCTGTTTTTAAATTATATTTCGTAAATCATATCATTTAGTAAATCATATCATTTACTTGACCCCCAGGTGACCTGGAAATGATGGAATAGGTGAAATGGGATCAAGATCCTCTGTTGAGCTAAGGGTAAGAATCCTTCTGAGTAAACTCATCAGACCGTTTAAATTTTATCAAACAGTTATAATTATTATAACTTTTAAAATGGCTCCTTATTTGTAGCCGTTAGATAAAATTTGAACAGACGAATGAGCTTGCTCAGAGGATCTTCACCCTTAGCTTAGGAGAGGATCCTAATCCCGTGGAATGTCCGAAAAGAGACAAAAATGATAATAACACTCGGATGCATTGCACAAAGCTATTTAATTTTTGTTTTTCTGTCCTCCAATTGTTGGCAGGAAGTGGAGAGATTTTTTGGTATTAATTATTTATATTATGACATTTGATATACTGATCGTGTTATAAGCACATTGAAAAAAAAATCTATAAAGTGAAACCTCATGTGTAATGGGTGGCGCTAATTTTTATTCTTCTTCTTTGCAGTCTCCTTAATTTTTTGATGATTGAAGGTCTTTCTTTAATGATTTAAATAAAGAATCAAACAACAACCGTCGTATTATGTAGTATACAAAATATAGTTAGAAAATGATCTGTCTAACATCACCTTATCAAAAATGAGAGAGTAGGAGACCGATGAACTTGGAAATAGAGAAAATGAAAAATAAGAATCAAATCAACTAGTCCATTTAGTTGGTCCCACATTTCCAACTTTGAGAGTAGATGAGTATTGATTTTAAGGCGAGACTCACATACTTTTTTCTCGAATCCTAATAAAATTTGTAAAAATGTGAAAACTCCAAGGTTGTAATGATTTTCTCTTTGAGTCTTTTCTCATACTCAATTCTAGTAAGTAAACATATCATTTATATATTAAATTAAAAATTTGTGAAAAAAATTCCGTATGCTTTAAGTTTTTTATGTTAGTAAACACATGATAGGTCTTTGACAAAAAAAAAACATGATAGGTCAAAAATCAATATGATACCAAGGTCATTTTATGTAAGCATACATGTCATAAGCTTAAATTTTCTTAAACCAGCTACTTAGTGCTATTCAATAGTATTTATCTTCAATTTTAATTGAGAGGTCTTAGATTCGAACTTCAGAATTGACCAAAATAACTTCTCAAGCCAATTTCAATTTGGAATTTTGGACCTTTGATTGACCCAATTCACTTACTTGGGTCCCAACCATACCAATAGGGCCCAAATATAAGGACATGTAGGGCCACTTAACCAAATGGACTCCAAAACCGTTGACCATACAAAGACCAACAAAAGAAAAACCATCGGCCTGGGGGCCATGCCACGTGATACTCACATCACTTTTTGATGTAAAGTGTAATAAAGTCACATGCTTTAATTATCGGATCATCCAAATAGGAAAATGATTATCGTCGGATTATGTTTTTTTAAGAATTCTAAAGATTTCGTGATTATAACCGTTCGTCATATATTATGTGTTTAGAAATTATTTTAAAATTTAAAATTAAATATAAATAATACTTAACTAACCGAACGATGTACGATAAACGATCATGATCACAGGATTCCTACAAAGCTTAACTTCATCAAATTTTATGGTTTATTGCTACTGATCTATGTCATGGAATCAAATTCTACTCAAAGACCCAAACCCCCATTTCCTCTACCATAAACCCATCATTTCCTTCCTAAACTTCACCTTCTTGGCTTCCACAAATGGCCTCCCACCACCACCTCCACCACCCTCACCCTCACCCTCACCACCACCAACCCCAACCCCCCACCACCGCCATTTGCTGCACCAGCTCCTACAACACCTGCTGCTGCACCCAATCCCACCATCCCTGTCCACCACCACCACCAGCCACGGACCCACTTCTCCAAGCCCTCGCTTCTCAGCTTCTCCAGTCTAACCCACCAGATCCCTACTCTCCCCACCCCAATCACCACACCCACAAATCCCACCACCCAAAACATCGTTTCCACCACCAAGAACAGCAAGACCAACTTATCTTCTCCCTCCTCTCCCGCATCGAAGCCCTCGAAGCCTCCCTCCACCACTACTCCTCCTCCTCCTCCTCCTCCTCCTCCTCCTCCCACCGTTCCCACTCTCCGTACTCGCGGTCTCTCAGAGACTCAGCCGCCCGAGTGATTCAAACCCACTTCCGTGCTTTCCTCGTTCGCAGATCACAAACCCTCAGGCACCTCAAAGACCTCGCATTCATCAAGTCTGCTTTCACCTCTCTCAAATCCTCGAATTCCAGTGAAACCCACTTGGATTTTCACGCCGTTTCTCAGAAAGCCATCGATTTACTTCTCAAGCTCGACTCGATTCAGGTAAATAATTTCATGGGTAATTGCAATTTTACTAATTTTTTTTATAAAGTTACTTCCTTTTTGTTATTTTCTTAGAGGTTTTTGGTTGTGCATTTCGTTTCCAGAGCGGCGATCCGATTGTTAGGGATGGGAAAAGGTTGATTAGCAGAGATTTGGTAAGGTTTTTGGAGTTCATTGATGGGGTTGTTATGAAAAGGCATGGGCTTTCACTGAAAGCAGTGAAGAATGTGAGGTTTGGTCAAAATGTTAACAAATCACGGGTTTTGCCCGCCAAGTGCGGTGGCGATTTGGGAAGGGATCAGAGGGAGAAGATTGAGAATTTGAGGGATAGGATCGAGAAGATTCGTGGGTTTGCTAGAGTTTCGGAGAATGATGAGGAGGATGTGGAGCTTGAAGGGTTTCAGCATGTCAGTGACGAAGATGAAGAAAACCTTAGACTTCGATTTAAAAATGGGGTGTTGGTGAAAAGGCAAGGGCTTCAACCTAAGGTCAAGAAAAATGTGAGCTTTGCGGAAAATGATAATGTGTATCGGGTCATTAGCAACTCCGATGAACCGGTTTCGAGTGGGGATGGGAGTGATTCTAGTGATGATCATGGAGAGCTTATTGGGAACCTCTGCAGTGGGGTTGAAGAAGTTAAAGCGTTTGTTCAGGAGACTGAGGAGGATGACGAGGAGGCACTCACGGAGAATGGTGGATCACCAGAGGCTAGTAGTGATGGAGAAAGAAACCCTAGAGCCAGAATGATTCCGAGAAGAGAAGATTTTTACGAAACCAAAGGCCATGGTCAGGCTCGGAATGAGTATTTGTTATTCTCAGCTCCTTTGCCACCGAAGATGGAGTCGAAAGCTGATATGGTAAAGAGAAACAAGCCTGTGAAACTTGTGAAATGAATGGTTCAGTTTGTGTGTGGCTGTCGGGGTGGACATTAGGTCTTCCCCATCGTATCATCCGCAAATGTCATTCTAATCATTAGGTTTTGGTCGATTAGTAGAACACCAAGAAATAGATGTCCGATGGGGGTTTGATCCTTTCCCTCGGCTGCTGGTAGAGGGAGTCCGAACACTGTTCCGTAAGATGTAACCTTCCACCTAAAGATTCTATGTATTTTGGATGATGAATTTAACCAGATTTCTTTCGACTCTTTATTGCTCCCTGTTTGTTCTTTCTTTGAAATGTGTACCAATTAAAAGGAATTAGGGTTTTCTAATTCATAGAAATCTCATCAAATATGCAAAGACCACCTTAACGCAATGTTCATGTTGCGGAAAATCTGAGCAGAATCTGCAGATTTAACGAAACTTATTTCGAGAGGAAAAAGGAATACAGAAAGCCAAGTTCTTCAAATCTGAAACCGCAATGTTCATGTTACGGAAAATCAGTGCAGATTAACGAAACTTATTTCGAGAGGAAAAAGGAAACCAGAAAGCCAAGTTCTTCAAATCTTAAGCTGCATCTCCAAACGTAATGCTTGGAATTTTTTTAACATGAATTATATTCAACGAACAGAAAAAGGAAAGAAAAACCTCGAACTTGAATGAATGTCAGTCTCATATCCTCCCTCTACTTGCTGCGTTGGCAAACGTTTAGTTTTTGTTGTCCTGCAAAAGAGAGAAAACCATGTAAGAGAAGGTGCAGATGTTCGACGCAGAGGAATGACTATCTCAACAAAAGTAACTTACAACTGCATTTTTTTTTATCTGAATCCTTAATCACTGGCCTGACATGTATTTGTTGAAGTTATTTTCTTCAAAAGAGTCCTTTCTGGTGGTCGACGGGAACTATCAGCCTACCTGTCTAGCAATTGCGGCGTCATCTCCCTTGATAGCTTGTCCTAGCCCTAGTTTCTAGTTTTGGGGAAATGATTTCATGGCGTTTCGCTTTGCACCAGCAATTTTCACCCTAGCCTCTCTTAATGCGTTGAGTGCCACCTTGAAAATTTGGTCAGATGCCATCCCTTCCTCTGCACATTTAATGGCTTCGTGGTACAGAACATTGTATTGCAAGTTCCTGCCCTTCTGAGATTTTCCCTGTAATTCAACACACGGAAGGACATCCAACATAGCCTCTTCCTTCGCATTTCGGGTCCATCTCTTTAAGATATAACAGGGTGGGAGTGTAAAGACATTTGTGGCTTTAAACACTGCAAGCACATGTCTGCAGAGGATCCCTTCAAATTCAAACATCTTGCAACTGCAACTAGCTAGTTGTTCAGCTATGTTAAAAGCTACGAAATAAATTTTATGTTCTTCGTTGAATCTTGCTACCTCATAAGTTCTTGTTCCTCTGTCCTCGGCACTTAATTTCACGGCAAACACGAGGGATTCAAAAACTTCATCCTGAAATATGGTGAACATGTTTCTTGTGTAGATGTCTGCTCCTTGCTTTTCCACAGGAAGTGGTGTTTTTAGAACCGGTTTAGTATAAAAAGTTTCGAACTCTGCCTTTGCTTCTTTCTCATATCTTTCATCTAAAGCCTTTTCATATTGCTCTGCAAAATCTTGTAAGGTAGTTCCAGCATTCACATAGCCATCAAAAAGCGAGTTCACAGTTCCACTCCGCTGGGCAGCATACAGCCCAGCAAAGAATGCGTCTCTTATGTACACCGGAACCCACAATTTGCGATCAATATAAAGCGATTGAAGCCAATCACTCTCTCTAAGACTGTACTTATCAAGAAGCATCTGCCAAGCTGATTCAAACTCATCAGGTGTCTCGCTCTTGTTAATGCATCTATCAAATTCAACTTGAAAAGTCCTTGGGGTTACACTATATACATTTCCCATTTCCTTTGGCATTTTGCTTATGATATGCCACTTGCAATATCGATGAATTGATTGAGGAAAAACTTGTTGCACTGCTCGACTTATAGCTGGGTCATAATCGGTTATAATTAGACCTGGCTGCCGTCCAGACATTGCCTCAAGCCAAGTTGTGAAGAGCCAAATGAAGGTAGATTCAGACTCATCTGCAAGCAATGCACAACCGAACAGAACTGAATGTTTGTGATGATTTACTCCAGTGAATGGCGCAAATGGCATTTTGTACTGGTTCACTTGATAAGTAGTATCAAAGGCTACAACATCGGAGAAACAGTTGTAAGCGATTCTTGATCTTGTGTCAACCCAAAAGACGCTACTCAGCCTCTCTTCTTCGTCAACCTGTATTGCATAATAAAATGCTGGATCACTCGCTTGCATAACCTTAAAAAACCCAAGCAAACTTTGGGCATCGATGCCAAAAGTGCTCAACCGGCCGCTTCCGATATAATTGACATCACTCTGCACAGCAAATGCCATCTTTCCGAAACTGCCAGAATCAGCCAAGACATCTGCGGAAGCATCCAAAGACAATCCCGGAGAACTGAAAGAGTTGCTACAACTTTTGTCAGCATCAAAATCCTGCTTATGCGACCTAAGGAAATGCCGCATAGCAGGAGTGACCAGCTCATGATTATGGTCCTTCTCTAGCTTCACCACATACCATCTCCCATTTTCGCGCTTCCTCACAGTCATCAGCGCCTTGCAACCTTCCCTAGTGATTGCCCTAGCACGCCTTCTCTTCACATCCTCGCCTGAATCTCTCTTCGCATTTTTCTCCCGGCGGAACCCTTCTTTAGAACAACAAAACTCCCTAGATATAATCGAATTATCCTTCTTCGAGCGGTAATATGAGTTCACGCGAATGCTAAACCCCGTTTGTTTAGCATACGCATTGTAAAAATTCCTAGCATCGTCTTCGGAAGTAAACTCCATACCCAATGTGGGCTCTATAATCCCACCTCCTACTAACTGTGACAAGTCAATCTCCACATCACCCTCTTTGCCATCATCCAACACCACCGGAGCTTCGACATCCTCTACGACACAATGTCCATAGCTTTCACCTTCCAATGCCACATTCGAGTCCACTACCTTGCCTACGCATTCACCGGAAGGCTCTGCCTCCATGATGATATACTGTTCAATTTCAATCCCCTCTTGCATTACAAAATTAGAGGGTACCCTCCATTTCCGAAAGCGAAAACCTTACAAATTACAGCTCAAAACCAAAGGGTACCCTTCAACTCTGTAGCAAATTTACAGTGAAAAACCACTCAAATTCTCAATCTTCGCATAAAAATATGAAAAATGATGCGAATTTTTGGACCCAAATCAAAATTCTGCTACAAAATATTAGACAGTTATCTAAGAACTCAGATCAAATTACCGGAAACTCCCTCTCGAAGTCGTCAGAGTAATTAAAGTTGATAAATTTAAAGGGTTTTCAAAATTTACCTTACAAATTTTGGAGTTGCAGAGAGTGAGAGCGAGAAGAAGGTGAGGTGATGGGAGTTTTTAAGAGACAAAAATGCGCGCCGCCGCGGACCAGAGGAATGGGAGGACTACAATTACGCTCTGCTTTCGCTTACCGAATACAAACACTACGTGAGCCGTCCGATGGTTTAAGTTGGGGGCTGGTGTATTGGGAGATCGGACGGCTGATACGCTTCGTCCGTAGGCTGAAATAAAGCCCATTATATTACTCTTTAATAATGAGAATTCCAACAGAATACTCTCCGGATTCTTTTGGCGAAGATCCTGAAAATCCGTAAATTATGTTCGTTCATCGTTTATCGTACGGTCAGTTTTCTTTAAGTACTGTTTATGTCTATTTTTAAATAAAAATATTTAAAATGATATATGATTGTACGAGGTACGATTCATGGACATGATTCACGAATCTCTGAGATCTTCACAAAAAGAATCCGACGAGGATCTGAACTCATGAGAATTGTTCAGTTCCGCATTAGGTCAGTTGGCTGAGATTTGTGTCCGCCTCTTTTTTCACGAGTTTAAATTCCTCTCATATATTTGATTGTTCTAAAATATCACTTGTATATGTTTAATTATACGATTTGTTGCAGTCCTAGGTTAAGTTGGTTGGCTTCCCCTTTTGTTTTTTAGAGTTCAAATTCCTCCGGCAGATTTGATTGTTCTAAAATATCACTAAAATTGTAAGGATCGTTTTTCTTGTCCTTCTTGTTTGCATTGCTTCAAAATTCAAGATTATTCTTTTTTTTTCGAATTCAAGATTATTCTTTGACCTAAACCGAATTTTTAATTTAAGAATATTTAGAGCAAGTTTAAATAAAAGGTTGTTAGTAATTAATATTTAACAGTGTGATTGTGTAAATCTTAAGCTTCTTCGGGATCTAGATGATTTTTTCTATTAAACTTTGTATTACTTGAAGAGCAAGTTATTCTCTCCTCCTTATTACTATAAATAAAGAATTCATATTCTTGAATTCCTCAAGTCATTCTTATTCTTGAATTCCTCAAGTCATTCTTATTCTTGAATTCCTCAAGTAATTCTCTATCTCTCTTTCTCTCTCCAGTCGAACTCTCTCCCCCTCCAGTAAAATTGGTCACAACAAAGGTAAACTAGTAAAAGCCACCATTTTCAGAAGATTTCAATCACATCTCCAATGATTTATACTATTGCATAACCATGAAGTTTATGAAATTTGAACTTCAAATCCGCATCAGAAGAAAGGTTATAAATTTGTTCTTTATTGCAAAAAAATGCAAACAGATATTCCTCTAGGGTACTCAAAATTCAAAACTAATTACACCTTTAAACCCAAAAACTCAAACTTAAAGGCTTAAAATACAAAGCTTAAGCCCCAGAAGTCCAATGAGCTACAGCATTACAAATGGTCCCTGAAATCGCTCGTCAACAGAAGTGAAAATTTCGCAAACCTGCACAAATCAAAGAATTGCAGCAACAATACGTCAAGACTGCTACAAACATTCAAAGTATAAAAATTACGCTCAATAGAGAGATCCACAAGATATGAGTAGCCACCCATCAGGAGGTCACAAGGGGAACAAGTCTCAAATTGGGTTGGTCATGTGCAACGAACAACAGTTATCAGTATCGAGAAACAGTTGGCTCAACCATGACTAAAGGTAAACGCAGCAATATGAGTTGAGAGTTGAGGTTTAAAGCTATACATAATCTCGATTATCAGAGTCTTGTCATGAGTCATGAGTCATGACTCATAACTCATGACCACTGAATAGAACTTGTCTTTGCAAAAGCAATGCTCGTTGTACAGTTTAGACAAATCACACAGTGGCATTCACTCTGATATCAAAGTATCATGTTTTATGGTTAGAAGTTAAGAGCGTCTTAAGAAACCGGATTGTAAAATGGATTATAGATAGAACTAGTCTTCGCAAAACATTAGCTTGTAAGGATCTTTCATTGAGTAATGTACTGAACATCTTAGAACTTATTTAGATGATTTTGTCATAAATAAAACCGGATTGTAAAATGGCTTAAAGTTAGAACTTGTCTTTCCGGATGGCAAGGGTTTTTTAGAGAGTAAGTGTACTGAACATCCCCGAACTTATTTCAATATAACTTGTCTTAACAAAACCGAATTGTAATGATACTTTGGAGTGTAAATGTACCGCACCTATTGGAACTTGTTTTTGAAAAACTGACTAACAGGGAGTACTGCTCAAGCGCATTTGACACAATTCAAACACTGAGAAGCCAAATCACAAGAAGGAGAAGAACAAAGGCAAATAAGCCTTGAATATAATATTTTTGCATAGTTCCGGCCAAATGAAGAACTCACCTCACATTTCACAACCTCTAACTTCACTAAATAATTTATGATTCGATATCTATTTGTGCATCAAGTTTGATATATAGTCTTTCCATGACAAAAAACTAAACATTCTGAAATAAAATAAGCTTAGGGCCGTTTGATAACCATTTCATTTACAGTTTTTGGTTTACAATTTTTGGTTTTTGGTTTATAAACAAAAAGTAAACACTGAAAACGAAATGGTTATCATACGGACCTAGAGAAGTTAATCCAGTTTAAGCACTTTCACCATCAAAGAGGGAAAACAATACCTAACGATTTCGATTATCAAGATATAATCTTTTCATCAAAGAAACAAAACAGTCAGTCACTCACATCATGAAGGCTAAGTTGGAATTAAGATATAAACGAATTTTAGGATTCCCAGGAATTCCTATAGTGATTGAGACCAAAAGTTTCAATTTTTATTTCTTTACCCAAAATTACTCAGAAACAGAGAAAGCATCATTCATCCTCATTAATTAATAATTAAAAACCAAATTATGCATACAAACCCATTAATCAGACAACCAAAAACCCTAATAAAACCCAGACTAGCAAAAACCCAACAAATTGAAGATCTGTGCGCACGCAAGTTCGAATTAGATTACAAAAACACAACAAAATTAAGGAAAATTAATCATATTTAGTGTAGATAAGACGGGATTTTACCCGGAAATGAATCAATTTCGGTGCTTGATTGGGTTCTGAACCTCCATGACGCTCTTAAGCTTGGGAGCGTAGAGAGAGTAAATAACAGCCTGCCGCTTGGCGACCTCCAGCTGAGCCTTCCCGTCTGAGAACGCGGCGGAAATGGCAGACGGGTCCGAAAGGTTTCGATTCTGACGAAACGCGTCGACGGCTTTGCGTTTCGTGTACTCCCTGATGTTGTAGTCGGTGAATTTGCGAGCCACTCGGAGAAAAGAGCGGAACATCGTGAGCACCTCCGCCCGAGAAGGAACTCCGGCCGCTGCACTCATGGCGGTTGTTATGGCGCCTCCTCTGAGCTTTCTCGAGAGCAGAAGAAAGGGCGAGAGAGATTGAGAGATTGAGAGATTGAGAGAGTGTGAGAGACACTTCGAACACGCTCTGAAGAAACGAAAGTTTGCGGCTTGTTGCTTACTAGCTTATTTTTTCAGCGTGACCAGTACATGAGGTGATACCGTATATATGTGTGTTAAAATGTTAATAATTTAAATAATAAAATCTCCTACTATTTAAATAAAAATACGTGATATATCCTTATGTTCTGGTCATAATGAAAAATTTCTCCCTTGTGGGAGCCAAAAATTACTCCTCCACTAAACAAGCCATGCTAAACATGAGGAGTGGGGCTAAAATAAAGGAGCACAATCAGATACTTCATGGAATGTGGAACATGGAGAAATAAAAGGAAAGTGGGACTTGGAGCCCAAGACTTGAATGCCTATAAAAGGCTAATAATCCCACTAGAAAAAGGGGGAGAAAAGAGAGTAGAAGATCGTTCTATATTTTATAAGCATTCTGAACAAACACTAACTTGAGCGTCAGAGTATTTTCTTGCAGGTCCTCTCCTCCCTCATTGATGGTGAGTGAAGATGGTGTTGTGGGCTTCTCAACTTAGTTACAAGGTTTACTTGTTGGAGGATTGGAGGAACCAAAATATTCCCCCCAACATCCCTATATTGGTGGAACAAGACGGTGCGTTTAATGGATATAGGATTATAAAGGTAGCAAACTGCGAATGTAGTATGCTTTCTTATGGAGAGATTTTGTGTGTCTGGAACACAGTATAAAGACTATATTCTTATACAATTGGAATGACACGTGAAAAAAAACTTAGTTTCAAACACATTAAAAAATCTATCCTTATTGTGGATGTGGCGAGAGGTGGTGAAGAATGACTTATCCATACACCATTTGAAATGCAATATTGGCAACGCTGGTAGATCAATGCAATCACACATTGTCATATGCAAATTTTTATGGACACACTTTTTAACTTTGTTACATAATTAGTTTGAAACCTATAAACTTTGAGTCTTCATTTCATGCGAGTCCTTTTCATGGAGGTGTTTTTCTGAAACACGATATTGGTGTTGTAGAGGTTGATCTACGACACATAAGGGGTTGTTTATACCATACTTAAGGCCTTCGTATTTAGATCTCATACAAATACTCGGGGGATTTAATGTAATTATGTAATAAAGGAAGGGGCAAATATGTAATAAGTGAGAAGCACTTATTCTATAAAAGGACTCATCACCCTCACAATTAGAGGAGGCCATTTCTTAAGCCTTCTCACCCCTCTCAAAGCCTTCTCACATACAGAGGTTTTCTCCCTCTCCTTCTCAATCCTCTCAGAAATACAATATCAGTGTGGACGTAGCCCAAACCTTGGGGTGAACCACGATACATCTTGTGTTATTTACTTTTGTTGATGCACAAAATCAGCGAGGACTTTGGTACAACAGAAAGTGTCAGGTTTGTGACCTTCGCTTGGTTGCTTCGATCACTAGTGAAGATAAGTACGTAAATGAATAGGGACAGGGAAGCAAACACAAGATGTACGTGGTTCACCCAGATTGGCTACGTCCACGGAGTAGAGGAGTTCTCATTGATTGTGAAGGGTTTACACAAATACATAGGCTCAAGCTCTCCTTTTTGTGAGTTCTAGTGAATAGTTTAGTACAAAATGACATTAGAGATTATTGTGGGAGAATGATCCCTATTTATAGAAGAGAGTTTCTAGTTTTGTTTTGACATTGACACGTGTCGTGT